CTGTGAAAGACGCCTTCAGATTTGTGCAAAATGAAGAATAGAAAAGGAGAAAGCTTTCCCTAAAGCTATTCATAAGATCTATTAAGGCACAGTGACATTCTCCTGGAGCTTGTATGGATACATTGCACTGAGTAGTTCAAGGATTTGCAGCTGCTTGGAATATTTGAGAAAGAGATTCCTCTTGTTTTTATCATGTGGTTCACAAGGCCGAACCAGCATTTGCCAACTGGCTACTACCCATCAAGGATCTAACAATTAACAATTGTATCATGATAACATCTTGCATTTCTTGAGTGCTGACTTTGTGCTTCAGATGTGCTCTGTGCTTTCTACTCTGTGTATTATTTAATGTCCATGCTTCTGATCTTACAGGAATGGCCACTTATTACATTTATGTTTGCTTTTTGTAGTATGGATAATTTGTTAAACCAAGTCTGAACCTTTATAAGCTGACAGATACTTACAGTTCTTTGTTCCAACCTAACTGGTGGCAGTTGAATCTGAAGGATGTTCTGATGACTTCAATAAAGGCAACACTGATCACATCAATAAACAAATGGTTAGACACAGTGCACAGGTCTAAATAGGTGGAGGCTTCCAATTTTCTGAGCAGTGATGGACTCAAAACTGTTACTAGAACGAGCCACTGATGATGTATATTTATTGATGGAATAAGTCAAACAACTGGAAACAGGACTTTAAGGTGTGTTGATCTGGTGCATTTTCACTTGATTGGAAAAGGGAAGATATTTTAGAATTATGAAACACAGCACTTTCATGCATTCATCCTCTCGTTATCTGAATATATAGTAGGTAGGCTAGATAAATGCATCCCATTTAATATATTTGGCTGATTGGTTTTTGTTTTATTATTTGATCTCTATTTTGTATCTTCTCTTGCCACATGGAATCTTTGTAGCCTTCTTACCAAATGACTTGGAGGTTTCTTTCATTTTCTTTTCTTTTTTTGTAGTAGGGATTGAACCCAGGAATCAGGCATTTAGCCACTGAGCCACATCTCCAGCCCTTTGTATATTTTATTTTGAGACAGGGTCTCTCTAAGTGTCTTAGGGCCTTGATATGTTGTTGAGGCTGGCTTTGAACTTGTAGTCCTCATGCCTCAGGCTCCCAAGCTGCTGGGATTACAGGCATGCACTACCACACCTGGCTGAAGGATTTTGATCAAATTATGGACTTTCAAACCACTGTTTTCTCTGCCTAGAATGTTCCTCCTGTCTTCACACTGCTAATCCTCCCCCACCCGAACACACACTCTATTCAGGCAATCATTTCAAGAAGTGTTGCCCCTCCCACAACACTTCCCTGGAGATCCCAGTATCCCATGCATACCTCCTGGTACCTCATGTGACACATGAGTCACTAAAAGTCACTAAATAACTCTTGGGAAGCATGGACTTTCTATTATAATTTCTGGACCCAATGAACAATTGTGACTTGAAAGTATGAATACATTCATGTAGATCATGTGTATTAGTACTTCGTTTGCTTCCCCATATCCTGCATCCCTAACAGACAGACAGACAGACACACACACACACACACACACACACACACACACACACACTCTGCATTTAGCTATGAATAGACTTCAAAGTGCCTCATCCACGGTTTTCACTGTAGTTGCTGAAGCTCAAGGTCATGATCAAGCAGAAGTGACTCTAGGAGAATAAAACCTTGGGTTAGGTTCTGTTGTCCTTGTCATCTGGAGCATAGAATGTGCTTCAAGTTCCACCTTTTCTAGTGGAGTTTCAGGGTGGTTTTGTGGCAGCACTATGACAATGCTTTCAGGTTATACAGGGATTAGAAACATGAAGAAAGGCGAATAATAAGGTCCAGGCAACACAAGAGGGTCTGCGCTGGAGGTCTGAGCTGGGAACAGCTCTGCCCACTGCAAAATGCCATTCCAGGGGGAGCACAGAGGTATCAGTGCCTAAATCTTACTCAGCTCTCTCCATGCTCATTACTTAGTTCCCTTTGATAGAACACAGGAGGAGGACATGGATTGCCAGGGAGCAGGCTTTTACCACTGTGATTTCATTCCATTTTGAAGTTTCTCTCAAAATGGTTGATTTATTTTCTTCTCATGGATGCATAATGTATGTGTTACTACTCGCCATGGGCAGATTCAGAAAGGCACGCCTTTGTCCCTAAACCCCCCACTCATGCAATGCAATACAGTAACTAAGAGAACCAGAGACCCATGCTGGGTTCTGGAATAGACAAAAGCACAGATCCCATCTGGGTCTCCTTCAAAGCAAACTGCTGTTTTGTAAGAAGCTACTGGATGGTGATTAAAAAAAAAAGAAAAAGAAAAAGAAAAAAAGGTTCTTACCTGTTTACTTAATGGGTGACTGGCCTCTTTGCTTTTATTTAGCCATCTGTTCTGGTCTATGTCCCTTTAAACTTGTAAGATCCATCACCTCATTTAAGCTGTTACCTTGACACATTGCAATGTTGTGGACATAATGATTCCACAGAGGAGCAAATTAAAACGGTTTTTCATGATTAGAAGGTTAAATGAGGTAAGGCTGTGGTAGTTAGTGGTGAGATAAGGGGTTTTGAGGAGGCAGAGCTCAGGGGACTTTCAGGTGATTAGAAAATTAGGCTGGCTAGACGGAGGAATGTAGGTTTTACAAATTACAAAAGCCAAGAAGGAATGAAGACTTTCTTTGGGTGTCTCCGACCTCCGGTTTTGCTGTACAGATAGCGGCTGGGCCCTCAGCAGACCCAGGGACCATCTTTGAGTTTCTTTACTTCCTTGGGGGATTTTGTGAGGGAAAAAAAAATGAAGTTCATTATACCAAGAAGTGGTAAATTCAACACACAGTCACAACAACAAATACTCAGTCATTCTCAGAAAATTATTGGCTTTCCTTAAGTTTGAAGAGAAATGAGAGGCCAAGTCCAATTTCATGAGGGAACGTTTCACTGTCTTTGCCCTGCCCTTGTGGCAGAGTTGTTCTTGAGGTCCACCCTTAGCTCATCTTTCTTCTTGCTCTAGCATTGACCTTCCCCCTGACTCTGTGACAATTTCATGAGGTTGATCTACCAGACCCTGAACATCAGCAACAAGAAAGCCAAGGTCATTGATAAATTCCTGCTCTGGGCACTCTGGTGTCTCCTGATACGACTGGTTTTTATTTGTTGCAATGCCTTAGGCTCAAAGTCTCGGTCGTGTATGAGTTTTGGGTCTGCCATGTGTGTCTCATCCATGGTCAGGTTCTATTCCTTCTATCTAAATTGAGTCTTTCATGTCTTTTTCACCTTTTATTTCCTCTGCCTGTGTCCTCGTTTCCATCCCTCGTTACGTCTGCCTTGACCAAAGAGAACAGCCTCCTAACTAGTCACTCTGTACCTTTATTCTCTCCCTGCTCCAAAGCATCTTAAACACTGATGTTTGATTATAAGTGTTACCATTAGCAAAATTAAATAAATAGACAACAACAAAAATCTCCTTTAGCTTTCTATTTCCTAGCAAACTCAGCACACACAGGTTTCTTAGCTTGGTGTCTGAGCAGTCTACCATAAGGTTATCATTTATGTCTCTAGCTTTTTCTCCTTTGTGCTGTACAGTTAAGACAGACTGCTCTGGGCCTATGAATTACCCCATGTTTTCTAGTCTGTTCTGTTTCCTTTACCTAGGTGCCCACACATCCCTACCAGTTTAAACTCATGCCTTTTATTAAGATCAATCTTAAATACATCTCTGCTTTCTCCCACCTGATAAGATGCATTTGCTCCAGCTTTTATTCCATTGCAGAACACTGAGCAGAATGTTCTTATGCTGCTTGGTCTGAAATGTTTCCTCCCTTTGTGGTTATCATTTTGATTTTCACTTTTGCACATGCTTTATTTAGCACAGGTCATTTCTGTTGGGTGTGTGGGAGACTCCCCGGATGAAGTTAAGTTTTCATCTCAGGAGAACATCACGGAATCCCTTACCCCTCCCCCTCCACTCCAAAGGGCGCCAAGCCAAAGAGCGCCAAATTCAAAAATTTTTTCGACCAACCCCCACAGGACACAGTGTTCACTCGCTCTTTCTGTGTCACCCTGCCAATCCAATCAGCACCTGCCACGTCCCTTACTCAACCCTTCTTAAGCCGAAGCTTGCAAGTTCACGCTCTCTACCCTCTTCCTCTCTTCCCCTCTTCCCTCTTCCTCTTCTTTCTCTCCTCTCTCTACTCTCTTTCTCTCCCTCTGTCCTCCTCCTCTTTTCTCTATACTCTCTGCCTCTCCTTTTCTTCTCCTCCAGGCAGCCCCCCAATAAAATCTCTTGGTTGAATCTCTATCTTGGGTGAGTCACTCGCCTTTCAATTTCCTGCACACAAAGGATTCTAGATACAAAAGCACAAGAGTGAGCCATAATGAGACTGAGTGCAAGAATGGGGAAAAAATGCATTCATTCATTCATTTCACTCAGGTATTTGTTGAATGCCTGTAGCATTGACGTCCTGCATTAAGGTCCTGGGATACAGGGAGTTATACCACAGAGTACAACCCAGTTCTACAGGAGCTGACAATCCTGTGGAAGGAGGATTCCATAAACACACAGTGTTGTGCAGAGATGCCTTTCAAGGAAAGCAGGGGACTGACGGGCCTTCTTGTTCCATTGGTGGGGAGGTGGGGGGTCAAAGAATGCTGGTGGGAGGGATTGAGCCATTAGGAAAGGCTGCCTGCAGGTGGAAATTTCTGATTTGGGTTTTTCAAACTGAATAGGAGTGTGCAAGGAAGATAGGAAAGTAAAGAGGAGAAGAGACAGAAGGGAGGAGTACAAGAAAACCTCTCTGCTTGATCTCAGAGGCCCAGCACACAAAGGTGACCTGGTCACTAAGTCATTATTTTCAGTCTCAAAGTGAAATATTCTAAGTGACAGAATCCTTTTTTTCCTTATGAAAGAAAAAGAGAAAGGAATAAAGGAATCTCCCTCTGTGACTGCTTTTAGTTGAAAGTCTTTTTTTTTTTTTTTTAATGTTTTGTAGAGAAAGTCTGTGATTGCGGTGAGCTTCATAGCTGCATTCCTCTTCCTGCTGGTTGTGCGCCTTGTAAATGAAGTGAATTTCCCATTGCTACTAAACTGCTTTGGACAACCTGGTACAAAATGGATACCGTTCTCCTACACGTACAGGCGGCCCCTTCGAACTCACTATGGATACCTAAATGTGCGGACACAAGAGGTAAGACCCCAGAGGTTACCCAGGATTCCGTGGGTATCCATGGTAACAGCTTTTCTTCAGGAGCAAGATGGCTTCCAACTCACTGAATTACCCTCTCTGTCCCAGAGAGCTTGTTTGGGTCCTCGACATCTTTTTTTCTCATTCTTAGACACTTCTGACACATGTCTAAAAACCTACCCCCCCTCCTACATCAGATCTTCCAATTCAGGGGCTTCCTATGGAGTCAAGGAAGCAATTACCTGTTTTCCTGGTGGTTTGTGGCATAACATATAGGTCTTTCCATTTAGAAACTCTGATCAGCACTTACCAGCTGGAGAACTGGCTGGCTTTATTTCCTCTGGGTCCACGGGTTGGGGACAGCTCTTTATAGAACTTCAGAAAAGCATTTGTACTCTTTAAAACTCTGTAATCCTTAGACCTGGAGCTAGGAAAGGCCAAGCTAATTTCAAAATTTTCAGTGGCTGCAGAGATAATGGGATTTAAAGAGTTTCCAAATTTAAAGGGGTTAAAATCATTTAAATCCTATAATCACTGAACCTTTAAATCTTTGTAGTCAACTGGTGGCACAGGAGAGGATGGCTGCATATTGACAACTAGAAAGCGCACGCTATGCTAGCAATTTTGCCAGCAAACATTTGTCTCATGAAATACGGTAGAGTAATGAACATCAAAAAATGTGTGAGGCATAGAGAAGTGGTTAATAAAATTGTTTTCACTGTTCATTGCTGTGGAGTGGAATAAATGTGAGGCTAATATCCATAGATGCAAAGTCTAAGCCTGTTTGATGTTGGTGACAAAGAAGCAGGCCACTGGTGTGTATATAGTCCTCTGGGGAGAGGTTTTGGATCAGATCCTTTGAAAGGTCATTTTGTAAAGATACTAGAGAGGAGAGGGGCACAAAGGAGGCTGCCCCTCCTGAGAGTTATTCTTAGCATCCTGTGAGAGATGTTGCAAGCTGGCTTGGTTCATCCCTTTCGTGGGTAGTATCATACCTGAGTCATTGCTTCTGGTTAATTTGATTCTTTGAAAATTGTTTCTGTATCTACAGGATTTACAGGCTTTTTATTAGACCTTTATAGTTGGGGGGAAAAGCACCATTAATAACACATAAATTCTTGGGAGCCTTGCTTGATGTTTATCCTTTAATTGGTTTTAAATTAATTTTTTAAAAGTGCCTATTGCTTGAATTTGTTGAGTGTCCTAATAAATTGATTACCTATATAAAATGTGTCTCTCAGAGAATAGTTTGTCTCACTCTCATTTTTTCTTACTTTTATTTCTGGCTGTCATTTAATGTTCTACAACTCCACAGTATGGTGTTAATCATTTCACAAGTGCCTGTCACAGGCTGAAAATGAAACATGTGACTAAAATGTTCTATGAATTACTCTCCTAAGGGAAATCCCACCACATATCAAAGACCCTTTCATTTGTTTAAATATTTGTGATTTGGATTTTGAAGTGTTGAAAGAAAAATGGACCTAGGGATTTGGTTATTTAATTAGTTATATTAATCAGGCTACCTTTGAACTTCTTTTGATATAGTTTTTAATACAATGATTTTATCAAAGAATATCAAGCATCATTTTTCTCCTGTATGGGTTATTTCTTATGAAGAAATGTGATTACTGAAAAGAGATCAGGCTTTGGAGGCACCAAGGCATGGTTTGAGTTTTCACGCTGGGCTGTACTTACAAAAGGAGTATGTTTGTTTTGGGGTAACTTTCTTAACCTCTACGTCTCAATTTCCTTATTTGCAAAATTTGGAAACAGCATCCATCTGATGGTTATTAGGAGCCTTCAGTAGGAAAAAGTGCATGAGGTACCCAGCTCCAAATGGATGTTCAATGAATGGGTGTATGTTCCTTTGCATTCCCTGAACTTACCATCATGACACAAAATGTTCAGAATGATTCCTGTCCAAATACCAAAGTTCAGAGTACCAGAATTGATATTCACATTTTACAGACCCTGGACTTAGGTCAATAAACCTACAAAGTGCTTTCCAACCCCACTAGTACTCAGCATTCTGGAAATTTAAATCACAAAGAAAAAAATGTTTAAAGTACAAAGAATTATCCCTGTGTCCCAAATACCAGATTGGTTTTAAAAAATCAGAAATCTGCAAATATTGAATATTGGTGAGGATGTGGAACAACAGGAACTCTTATACATTAGTAGTGGGAGAATAAACTAGAACAACCACTTTGGCAAAGCCACTTTCCCATTATCAAGTAAGGTTAAAGTCTGCATTCCCTATATGACAGCATTTCTGGTGATCGGTATCTCTCAACAGTAGAGATGTTCATGAACTCAGACATGGGAGGCATAGACAGCACACACGGCACAATGGCCAGAATTTAGAGTATACTCAAATAGCTATCAGCAGGAGAATGGATTAAAATTCTGCTACGTACACTGGAATATCATACAGCAATGACCATGGAGACGCTGCAGCCGTATGTGACAACTTGGAGGGTAAGATTGTGCACACAGTGTGAATCTATTTGTAGCTCACAGGAAGGGGCAAAACTAAATGCTTTACAGACACATAGAAAAAGGGGAAAAAAACATCATTAAAGAAGTGATAGTAGCAATTACGTTTGTGAGGAACATGTGCTTTGTGGTCAGGCTGGGTTTCTGGGGCACCAGTGATATGCAATCTCTTGATCCTATTGGAAACACATATGTGTACATATTCTAATTATTTGTTAAGCATACATATATGTTTTTTGCATGTCAATTTCATAATAAAAGATTAAAAATATCTTCTGAGCCCAGGTAGGATACTTATTGACTACTTACTGTGGACCATGAATCCCACAAAGCATTTCATCTAATGCAACAGCAAGAAACCACTAAAAAGAGGCAATAGGATTATTAAGCTATTCAAAGCAAACCAGAATTACTGAAAGAGGAAATTTCATTTCTCATAAAGACAAACATATAACACAACATATTCCTTTAGCTCTGATCTATGCATAATAGAATGAAAAGTCCCATATTCATGTTACAGATGAGGAGGAGAAAGGATGAGGAGAAAATTTTACATCAAAGTTGAAAAACAACATATGAACACTCAAGAGAATGGCAGATTTTTCTCAAGCAGTCCCAGGCTAAATTGGGGGTTTGGTGACTTTCTACCTCCCTTCTCACTGATTTCATCTTTCCCACTGAGAGTCCCACCACACATATTCCCATGTCTGGGCTTCACTCTTCCAAAAGTTTGTGCATTGATCCTCTCCAAATAATGGTCTCAGGGGCAATCTTTTTCAGAGAAAATTTAAATAAAATATTTAGGATGGAAAAGGCTTCAAGAGTCAAAGTAATTTAAGTAAAACAATACTTGGTGGATTCAATATTTTGGGGGCACATAGCTTCAATATTGACATTCAAACCATGCTTCTATAGGGGTGGGAAAGGGGGCTGCCCATTTCCTTCCCATCATTAAGATCGTGGGCAAACACCCAATAGTCAAAGACAGGTTAGCAAGAGAAAAGCACATTGCATTTATTTGATCATATTTTGCATGGCTGGGGAGGCTTCAGATTGACCATCTAAAGACCCAGGGTGAACTCTGAATTTTTTATGCTTGGGTTTGGTGACAAGTGGGCAGACAGGTAGAAATATGATTGGACAAGAAGGTATGAACCCATAGTACCAGACTGTGGGAGGGAAGTTCCGTAAGGCTTGCTTTCAGGTTCTTCTTGATCCCTCAGATGTAGCATTTCTTCCTCTTTGGTATGAAGCAGGACCGTTTCTGAAATGGGGAGCTGATGACTTCTCAAACAACGTAGGACAGAAAACTTCTTTATGTCAATTTTTACACAAAACATGTGGGGGAAGTTAGAATATTGTTTTTAGGTTTGATAGCTGGCTTTGGGGAAAATGGGTTCTGTTTTCTATGATCCACCTTGAGGGCATTCTAGTCTCTATTCTTGGCTTGGGGGATAAGAAGAGGTGAAAGAGAGTGATGCAGGAGGGGGTCGGAGAGAAGCTTGGCTACTGAGGCCTTGACTTTGAGCTGCACACCTCCAAAGCAGCTGCATCCTTCTGTGCCTCTGCCCCTTATGCTCTGATTCAAGAGACATGTCAGTAACCCTGGCTGAACTGAGGCAGGTATGATGATCTGCTTACTTCAAGGTCTTGATCCTTAAGGTTTTCTCATAAGTTTTTTTTTTTCTTATAAAATGTATATTTAGTGGCTTTCTAGAAACCACTCAACTTCCTAGAGTTGCATTATTATTTATTATTATTATTATTATTATTATTATTATTATTATTTTCATCTATGTAGATATGCTGGCAATGATTTCCAGAACCAAAGCATCTGTACACGTGTTGCCGTGGTAGATGGCTCTATGACATAGATGTTTATGAGCTGAAATGCTTATGAGAGGGAATATCTCTTCAGTACTATCTATAACAAGGTGGGGTGGGAGGTGACAAAGATTTAGTGTTTGCTCTGGAAACTTGGGCTTCCCTGGTGCAAAATTTGATTCTTTGATTATCTATAATCAAAATCCTTTGGATATAATCCCTTTGGATCAGCCCAACCAGAACTATAGGCTGTCAGTGAATCTATGACCCTCTGTCCCGAAGATCTCAAAGTACAGTAAATTATGCCCAGTTCGAGCTCCACTTCATTGTATCAGTAAATATTTGCTTTTTGAATAATTTTCTTCCAAGGGGCATGCAAAAGATAAAAGTATAAAGAACACAGAAAAGTAAATATGTGGCTTTACTTATATATTGAACTGAATATATGAATCCAGACTCATAAAAAGCAGCATATTGTGAAGACTATTAGAATTGAAATAATTAAAATATTCCAACTATAGTAAGGACAATCCAATAATGCAGTTGGTGATTGGTTCCTCTTCTTTAACCCGTAAGTACCCATTTGCTTTGTCAACCGAAACAAGCTACAATTCTTATCCTGGGGGAAAGAGAAATCTTGAGAAACAAAATGAGTGCAACAAACTAGGTGGGTACTGAAA